GAAAGAATTAAATGAAGCGCTTTAATGAGAGGAGGTACATAAAGGCGTTTTGCGGGTCACGTGCCATGAAAATAACCCACAAATCTAACTAGAAGTAGTTGCCAGGATACAGCCAAGCCAAGTCGGAGTGCCAGACAAACCACAAATGAATGCAAGTATTCTGACGTTGCTGTTTTTGCTGTTGTCCTTGTCGGTCAGCGAAGCGTAAGCTGATTTGCATATTTTCCAATTTACAACAAAGAGCTTCAGCGCAAACTAATACAAGGAGGTGTTTATGCCGCACACAAAATTTGACAAACTCGGAACTGTTTAACTTTTCAGCAATAAATACACTTCAACGGCTTCATGTGCGCTTATGCCGCATAGAAATTATTTCAGGTGGCTTCAGAAATTCCTGCGTAGCCCCGCTTGCATTTACACGTCGGATTAGATGAAACTGTTTGAGGAAATCCGTAATAATCGTTGAAAGAATAAGCTTTTCTTTCATTTCTATGCTCCACAACAGTCTACGAATATACGATATGATAATCCTTTATATTTGAAGATTTTTTTTTTCAGCTACACAAGCAAGTTTAAATATGTTCTACGAATTTATGAGTAACTAAGACAGATTATTAGATTGTCCGTAGGGACCTACATTCTGGTGAATGGAGATTTTGCTGATTTCTCAAAACTCAGCTTAAGCGAGCAATCAAATTCTACCCAAGCTATAAGTCACAACGAACGAACATTTCAACTGGCATAGTATAAATCTGTGTATTCGTGTAATTGGGCTTTTGGGACAGTCGATAATGGAGAATTTCATTATATTCCTGTACCCCAAATGGTTATACATTCAACAGACTATTTCAGCCTTTCACTATTTACCACTAAACAATAATAAAATTTCAATAATTTCAATGCTAAGGTTCAGTTTGAACAGAAATTTGATTATCACCTTGGATTGCAGCGCCTCTGATCCGCTCAATACGTTCAGTTTTAGTTCAAGTAATTCTTCTGTCTGGCTCGATTTTGTGAAAGATATGGTATTCTGGCTAATCTCCCTTGATAATCAGGTTAAGTTTTCTGTTCAATACTGCATATAAAAATGTCTTCAAATTTCCAAACACCACAACATGAATTAGAGCACAAGTAACCCATTTAATATTCGAACATAATCTACCCATATGAAGCAATAATTCATTGAACAAAACTAATGCACACCATTGTAAAATTGTTTGTCAAATAAATTGAAATTTGTTCAAATATTTGAGCAACTTGCGCTTTTTCCTCATCCATCCTCACCTCCCTCCTCCACCCCTCCTCACGTTCTTACCATCTGTCTGCGCAAAATTATACCAAAGGGTCTCATCATCAGTAGCTGCCACATAGAATTCATATTGCTCTTACTGTTGTTGCTAGACTGCTTACGTATGCGGAACGACTATCCACCATCGACCGTCGCGACGGTGTTCGACGATGACCTCGACAGCGATTTCAGCCTGCGGTCAACACTGCGTATTCGTAATCAACACAAGCTGAGTTGCACGTAGAGATGGGTATAAGCCGTAGGTTCGATCGTATTATAAGTTCCCATTTGCCCCCTTCTGGGACAAGGCATAATAGTTCAAAGTCAATTAACTATACAAGTGTGTTTAAAGCAAATATATAATCAATACCAAATGATTTGTTAAGTAAGAAAATGTAAATTGCAAATTGTCCAGTACATGCAGTTTCCTTTTGAAAGTTAGACACAAGAAGATAAAACGTCGACTGCTCAAGCAGGTTAAAAATATTAGTGCACCCACATATGAGTGCAAGAAAAAAGGGTATAGAAAGGCGAAAGGCGATAGAAATTAGAGAAGGCGGTTTTACCCGTATCTAATGTAAATTAAAGGGAACTGCAGAAAGGGAAAGTAGATGTGGAATATAGAAAATAAGATCTCTAGTAACAATTTTGAATAAATAAGCATAATGTTCAACAATAAACTCAGTTCATTTTTGAATTAAAATCGTGTCCCATTTTTGTAATATATACTTACATTTGGTTAGGTGCAGATTAAACTTTTACCCCAAAGGTATGCATATAGCTAAGATAAATGGATGTTTTCTTTTATTATTTTCGTGAAACTTGGATAGAGGGCTGTCAATTCTAAAATTAAGTTTGTTTTTAATTTGAAGTCGCTTTTATATATAAATTGGTTTAATTATAGAGTACCCCAAAAGTAAGCATATAGCTGAGACAAATGGATGTTAATTTTTTAGAAAATCCTACATTTTAGTTTGTTTTCAATTTAAAGTCGCTTTTATATTTATATTTTTTTTAAAGTGTAGTGTACTCTTTTACCCCAAAAGGGTATAATGATTTTGATATATTGTAGTATATCTTCCAACTGAACTTTGTTTATCAAAAAAAGCCGTAAATGAAGCATTATTATTTCTTGTTTGCATCACTCAGTCGTTGGTGTAGTTCTTCTGATAAATTGCGACGCGTAGTTAGTGTGTAATCCCGTGACTATTATTTGCATACAAATCGACAACTTGGTCCATCTCTAGCTGCAAGTGGTGCTCGTTCAAGTCGCCGCCTAAAAGCATGCAATGCCGTGTGTTCTTCGACTACGAGTACTTATATGTACATAGCTTCAATTTCTATTACTCTTGCTGACTGATTTCGCTTTGGGTGTGCATTTGCCTTTGGCACCGACAACGGCGAGGTCAGCATCGTGGCTGGCTTGTGACGCTTTATTACTTTTCCGAGAGAGCTGGTGCCCCATTTAATATTCAGGAGGCGTCTTAATACGCTGTCTTTGCTGCCTGCTCCTCTGTCTGCTCTGTTTCATTCTTTTCCCGAGCCCCAATATTTATCTGCAGCCTCGTTTAATGCACTTTCCCTTTGCCAAGCCTTTGCCTTGCAGGCTCCCTGCATTACTTAGTTTACGCTTTGTGCACCAAAATGTGACTGTAAAGCTTGTTAACAACATTTTTCTGACGCTCCTTTGGGCGATATTTCGTGTTTGAACAGCTGCACACTTTTTACCAAGTTTATAATAAAAACCAATTAGTCCCAATACCACGCTCAAAAGAATGGACTGGCTGGACATACGCTTAACATTTTCCATTACTTTTTGTTTTTATTTTATACCTACTAATTTTGATATTGCCGGGAACGTTTACCCATTAACATATTTTAAACTCTTAATCTCATTTCAAGGGCAACTTGCTCTCACAATTTGTTTGTTAAATAAATTCTATCTAATTTAATATCTTTTTCTATTTTAAATTAAAGAAGAAAAGAAAATTAGAACGTAGATTAACAAAAAGTGAACATTTTGAATACGTTTTGATTACGTTAATATTTCATAAGATCTATTTCAATGTACAGGATTTTTAGCTTTTGACATAACATTTAATTTTTAGCCGCAACTACCACAACTATTGAAGCTTTTTAAAAACGGTTCATTCCCACGGAGGATCTAAAATACTTTGGAACTTAAAATAAAATAAATATTAAAGTGCAGAGAAGGCTTTTCCTTTGCTTATATATAGTGGTTCTGACGCTCGTTGTAATATCTTTATAAATTTGCTAAGTCTATAGCGATTAAGTATAGGTGAATTGGTGGTCTTTCGTTTCGAAATAAATTTTGAGGTAAAGAATGGGAAATAACCATAGATAAGCGCGGAAATACAGACTCAATAGCTGAATGGGGAGAAATGTGAAGTCCACTAGTTTATTTAAACTCATAGATGTATACTATTCAAGAGCAGATATTTCTAGTAAAGGATATTTGTTGTAATCTTGTTCTTTTATAAAGTTTTGATAAGTCCATGAACTACGGTGTGCGGTAAGTGCAAAAATTCGGCTCCTCAGACAGTTGTTATATGTCTCATATGTCTTGAATGGTATATTTTATGTCGACTTGCGCAAATAAAGACAACATATACAAAATGCTTGAACAAGAAAAGTTCAAGACGCCAAATAAAAAGGAGCAACAGAATTCATTAAAAATTAATCCAACACTGGCGCGTTTACACTACTCGGCTTGCCTGTCTTTGCTCCATCCTGAAACCTGAAGATATCTCCCCCCGCAAGGGGCCCAGTCTGCTATTCAATTACGTATGCCACGGCTGCAATGAAAATGACCTGCAGCGTCTAGAAATGCCAGTGCCAACCCCTCGACGGCATAGTAAGCTCGAGCAATACTTGTTTTGGCCAGCCAGAGGGCCAGCCCCAAAATCAAACCCAAACTCTATTCACATTTGCGTCCGTATTCGTGTCCGCAACCCAAATAGTTGGTAGTTTTATGTGTTTTGTCTTCCTTGGACGCGTATACCGCATAAACGGAATTATTTACAATTTATTTTTACCTGAGCGTAGAGCAATGAGCTAAGACTAACCAGCACCTGCCCCAACCCGAAACCGAACCCCAACCATCCAACACATAGCAGAAGCGTTTATTTGCTTGCCAGCTTTGTCTTCATTACCGGCTGCTCCTGCTGCGTCTGGCTGTTGGCCTGATGCTGAGGATGCCTCATTGGCTTTAATGTTGTTGTGAAGTGTGCTTGGTTTTTGAGACGTTTACAATTTTGATCTTAAGTGCTTGGACTGGTTATACCTACGATAAGAGAAGCGTATCTAATTTGCAGTTCAAAAAACTCAATTAATTAATTTTTTTAAGAAACGGTTATCAAGAAGAAAAAAAAAGAAGTGACAGAGAAGGGGGACCGAACTGCGACCGCGTGTAGTTTGGTGAGCTCCCTACATGGATATAAGTAGCTCGTACCCTTTTATAAAGGAGAACAGAGCCACGTGTAGACCAACAAGAATAATTTGTACACCTGAAGAGATGCGTGACTGATTACACCTTGCACAATCCCTTATTTTAACAATAAACATAAAGATAGGCAGTCGGTTCAGTCCTGAACTCAAAAGCTGCAGAAATGAATTCCTTTAGTAAACCACAAAATCTTTAAACCCATTCTTTGAGCCAATTCTCTGTGCGTTGTAGACAAAAACAAAGTCATTTGCCGAAATATAACTATTCATTTATTTAAACAAATATCAGATCAAAAGCTTCATCACAACAAATTTTGATGCAGAAATTTTGGTTTAACTATAGTAGGAGGCATAACCCTAGCCATTGTGTTATTGCATAGCTAAGAAATACGAATAGTTTTATTTGCATTTCAACATCGAAAGCATTGCTTACCCATACTATCAATGGTAATACAATTTGTTTCGTGTCCGTTTTATCTATCGTTTGTTTTGATTCCTCTTCAATATTGTTTTTTCATTTTTAAGGTGTTGTTCTCTTTGATGGTAAAACGAAAATTTGCGAATGTAAATAATCCAAACCTTTTTTCTACCTTTAATGGCATTGCAGTGTCGTCCTACAATGTCTCTCTCTCTCTTTCTCTTGAATTGCGCTAATTCGGTACTTGGTGTGTGGTGAGGAACGGTTTCTTAAAGTAATTTGTTGTTTGTATCCTTGAATCCGTCTTTCGGATTTACTCTCTTATTGTAAAAGGTATGCAAACAAAAAATTGAACCTACATAAACGAAACTCTGTCAGATCACAAAACAGTATCACCAAACACTACTTCGGCTTTAAACTTACGAGCTTTTTTTTGTATAGTTCTACTGCCGCCTACAAACGTAGACAATCAGTTCCCTGCGCTACAGGGTCCATGGGCAAAAGCTGTCCTGTCGCTTCAGCCTCGGGCAACAGTCCCACTTGAATCATCTCCTCAACAGCATCTTGGGACAGTGCATCATTTTCGCCCATGCCGGCATCTTGCTTGCCTCTACCCAGCGACGGAATCACGCCCATTTCGCGCAACTTCGCCCACAAGACCCGAGTCGAATAAAAAGCGACTGCTACTCCAGTCAACCAGGCATTTGGTGTGAACTGCACTGCTCCTGACTTGCTAGTGGATGATGCTGCTGCTGGAGCGTCAGACATGTTGGATTGTAGTGTATTAAGTTCACTTAATCTGAGAAGGAAATGTTAGTAGTGGGTGGGCACCGAAATTTATTTTTATTTCTACTCACCAAAAATATTTGTAAATTTATTTCGTTTTGCTGTTTACGATGCGTTCAGCTCGAGCTCTGGATTGAGAATGAATACACAACAATTCTTATTTTGGGGGTCTTGACAATCGAACAACCTGGCCTACTGGAGTCGATTGAAAAATGTATATTCTCCTAAGTACAATGGGCTCCATACTTGAAAACAATCAGCATAAATATGCATTAACAAATGTATAAGTATATAACGAACGCAAAAGCATTTTGTGCCCTAGAGGTAAACATAAAGCTGCCAATAGTTTCAATGATTGTTTGAAACCATGAATCCACATTTTCTCTTGCAAACATAAGTCTTTCTAACAGTATTTAAAATTATCTTAATAATATAATTACTACAATGGGAACAATTGACTTAAAAATTGCTCTCATTAAAGCCTTTCGATTTCTTAAGTAACTCTGAACTTTTAGCAGACCTTAACAGCTACGATCATTAAATCTTTGGTGAAATTTATGTTATATTATTACTGCTCGAAAAAACTGAAATTTGTACCATTGTACTCAAACATGTCATATTAGGCTTTGCATCAATCGTCTTGAAGTTCCAACGTAGCCTGCTAAGTTTAAAAAATGGAAGGCTGAACTCCTTAAAAAAATCTTGTACTCGCATCAATAAACAAAATTTGGGTGCATGTCCATCACCCTAGAGGAGAATATATTCCAGAGTACGCTTGCGACCATACGCATTGTCAAGCATCCTGCATCCAACTCTTAAAAATCCTATTCCAACTCAAAACTAAACTTAACTCAAAATCTCAGTACCAAATTAATTAATTTGGTCTTCATAAGCAAAACAGTTCGGTCATTTAGCAGCGATATAAAATGAAGAATCTTTTTATACTACATATGGTTTAATTGCTCTGCTTATCAATAAGATACTAAATATTATGCTTAGTGCCCCAACCAGCTATTGGACATATAGACCGACATTTCTACGAGTATATCGACTCGCCCTATCACACTGAAAGTTGTTTTCGTTTCGACTTTCTGATTCACCCTTTTACACTTTGTGGTACAAAACTTTTTGGCGAAAGCAATACTTCAGCTCACAAAACATAAGATATGGGGATACGATACGATATTTTGCTTCCAATATCCTTTTACTCTTTTTAGAGTCGCAGTCTCTAAATCGGGTGATTTTCTTGTCTGGTTGTTGGGAAAAAACGTTCAGTGTATTGATAAAAAAAAATATCCCTAAAATATTTAAGCCCTCCACCACTTAAACCATTTCTTATTTCTTATGAAGACAAAGCCTGCATTTTTGTGTACTATTCGAATCTATATCTTATGAAAAAATGATTTACGATTAGGGACATTGTGATAAAGTGGTCTGCTCCGATAGGCCAACTGTTTGCAGAATCCCTTACCTTTTTAACGAAGGTTGTTTATCGACGAAACAGACTACAAAGAAAGTAAAATAAAACTTTTAAGTCCAGCTAAATGTCCGAGCGTAAATATTCAGCTCGTTTTTGTACATGTTTGTAATTAATCAGCAAACAAATGTAAATTACTTTTGAAATTTGACGTTGACGTTTCATTGCAGCGTGCGTTAACCGGAAACGGAAATGTAGCTTGCATAACAAATGAGACCCACTTCGCCTAGATGGGCTGGCGACTCAGAAAGTCACTTTGACAATTCACAAGGCCTCTACAGAGCTGCATGTTGAAATTGTTTTGCCGAACGCCTACCCTTTGCCCGCCCTACTTTGTCTGCACCCAGAGCCACGGCCTCAAGTGACGTGCGCGCTCCATTTAAATAAATTGTTTTCTGCGTTTGGGGTCGCCGCTGATTGGTATCGCATGTCGTTGACAGGAGCATTTATTTGCTGCAGCAGTAAAGTCCAATGTTGTGCCGTTATTAAATAATTTGAATGGAACAAGCCCTATATACATATACTGAACACATAAGACCACGAGCTATGAAGAAGGTTTTGGCATAATACCATAGTTCTTCAAAGTCGTAATCCCACGCATTATTAATTGAATGCTAAAATATCAATATAAACTCTTTCATGTCATCTGAAGTTAGCTTGAAACCAGGATTGATGCCTCATTTATTTTCTAAGTTGGCAGGACTTACAGTCATAAAGGATGTACCTTAATGTTAAATGTACCTTACATAACCATTGTAACCTTTTGGAGAAGGCGAAATTTAATATTTTAATGAAATTTCGCACAAGTCAAGTGTTAAATATGGCAGCGCTACTTTTTAAATGGAAAAGGAAACAAAACTGCTTTCAAATATATCTGCATATATAAATGATAGCCGTGGTAACACAAAGTGTAAATTGCTTGCCAAATAAAAAATTGTTTTTCGAATTTTTGTTGCTGTCGCTTTTTGGCATTTTTTTATTGTTTTTGTAACCATCATTTCTGTACGTCTGTGCCTGTGAGACTGTGATGTCTGCGATGATACGAGGCAGCTACAGCAATGTGGTCTTTCACCCTACAACGTTGGATCGTAAAACACTGTTAGCTTGTATTGTTGAGTAGAGGAGTATAACGAATAAAAAGATATCTGATTATTATTAATTTATGGAATGTGCCAAAATATGTAACTCTTGCATCCATTTTCGATTGGAGTTAAAATAATTACCGCTATATTTTTTGTTTAATTTATTTGCAATTGATATTTACTTTCCTCAAGATATTTGCATATATAGAACATTTTATTATTATAAAACTAGTTTCCTACTACCAATCTTAACATTTTAATCTACATAGTTGTATGTTTGTATATGAATTACCTTTTTGGACATAAAACATAAACAGCGAACCCTAAAAGTATGCTATCTTTTATTTACATTATGTTCTGAAGGTAAATCGCATCAGCTTAAAGGTTATAAATGGAATAGGACCTGAATTCCATGTGTTTCGCTTTTTAAGGACGACGTATAGCGCAATACACATTCCTCAAAGCCGTTTAAAATATTTTAACTGTTCACATGCCATTTTATTTGCTGGATTTTTTGACACAACACAGCCAGCACGTCAGCGAGACAGATAATAATAAAAAAATTTTATTGCACACAAGCTCATCCATTTGACTTAATGGCGGTTAAAATGTGCAGCCTTTTAATGTTCAGAGCCCGTCCTGAAGTGGAAACGAAAGGCCTGGTACAGATGCTGGGGAGTGGGGGAAATGCGTGTCTGTCTACCTATTTTAAATGTTGCGTTTGGGGGAGCTGTTGATTATTTAATCATTTTTTTGGCCACCGCTCGCCTGGCTTACTGTTTCTTCAAGTGGAAGATCATGAGGTTTTTCATTTTATTTGCATTCTTTCATTTAATTGGTTTGGCTGCAGTACTTTTTGCTGTCCTTGCTATTCATATTATGGGAACTGATATACATATGTACTATTTATTTATGTGCAGCCAACACTCAATAAGTCAGCAAAATGTGCTGCAAAAAATCTGCAAAATATATTGCAAGCGTAGTAGGGGACGGTTCATGCATGAAAATTTGTGAAAAATTACACAATTTCCGCGCCACACGTTTGACGAATTATAATTGTGATGGCTGCGGCCCTCCAAATGAGCAGGCAAGACCGGAAACGCAACATACACGACTAGCACACACATACTTTATGGGGCACGCTCACACTACTCGAACAACCTATTTATCACATTCTTCCGCTCTCCTTAATATGCAACACATGTAGAAAATGAGTTAAATGTTCGGAAGCAAAAGAAAAACGACAGATAGCATGGCTTGTTTTGCTTAATTTCCAGTTTCCCTCTGCTAGTTTTTCTATCATCAAGCATCCTCATCATCATCGTCATTTGGCAGCAGCATGTTCAATATGATTCGTGACATGTTAAGGAATTAGTGCAAGTGCGCCACACTTCCACACTTCGCAGCAGTACTGCTGGAACTAACTGTTTGTCCGCTCTGACTTATATATTCGCCACATGTTTTCCATTCTGTTCCGGCCCCACTTGGTCTGCTCGCCAATTCATTGATGTGAGGTCTTTAAGTTTTATTTATTATTAGACTTTTGTTGCGCATGGTTTAATTGCTTATTTGTAAAGTTTTTTCAGACTAATTGCTGCTGCTTATATGCTTTTTCCGCCACAGTCAAAAGCCACGAGTAATGAGGTTTGTGTTAGTCTTGCTCTTAAATTCATATTGTCTTAAAAATTTTACTCATCACGCGATTGTCATAAATATCAATTCCTTATATTTCTTCGCCATGTAAAGCCGTGCGTGTTTCGACACTTCGTAGCTCATAGGGGAAGCCCTAAAGAATGTCGAGCAAGCCCGACATTGAAATATTTATATATATAATTAAAGGGAAATGAGTGCGACTCTTGCATACCCTATACCTACTCCTCCATCTGCTACAGTCGTTCAGCTTAAAGCATTTTTCGGCTCAAATGTACCTCGAAAGAGCCTGATACAATAGAGATTGCCAATAGAGAAATGACAAAACAATTGAAAAACATCACAAAATTGGCCACTCGGACTAATTAGACATATAGAGAAGATGAAAGAGGCTAATTAGAAACATTTTATTAATATAAAATATAATTGGGCTTAATACAAATAAATTTAACTGCACAGCAGAACTGATTTAAAACACATTTAACAAATGCAAAAGTTATCAATTAGAAAATTCTAATATTCAAATATCATAAATATTTCTATGATAAATCTGAATTTTACTATATCACCCAACCATGGGTAGGAAGACTTGTGTTATACTCACATGAAATGAACAACAGGTATGGGTGTGTTGCGAACATTTCAAAACTTTGTATTGCCAAACAAACTAATAAGAAAGTACGTGAGAATAATTTTACAAATTAGACGACAACATAGTCGAGCACTAATATGAAGACAAAGACTCCTGCGACAACATCTTTGACGCTCTGGCAGTTGATGCCCATATGAGATGAAACTGTAGCTACGCATAGTAGTAGTAGATGCTGCTGCTGCTGTTGTTGTTGTTGTTGTTGTTCTTGTAATAACGGAAAGTTGTAATTGTGTGTTGCGTTGGTCTTGGCTTACACTACTTGTAAATA